GGGTTCGGGGGGGGAGGGGGTGCGGGGCACGCTGCTGGACAGTGCGCACGTGTGTGGGGAGGGAGTGGGGGTGAGAGTGCACCCCCCCAGGGGTCCCTGCACACAGGTGTGTGGTGGGGGGCTGTTCTCCCTTATGGGAGGGTGCCCATGAGTGCATGAGTTGAGGTGTGGGAGTAGAATTCAGACCTGGGTGCAGGGTGTGGCCTTATGGGGCTCATTCCGTCACCCTATCTCAGATATGCCAGGACACCCTCCTGGTTCTGGGTGGGTGCTGGGAGCTGTAGTGGTTTCTGTTGGAGAGGCCACCATCAGCTCAGGCTCTGGAAGCCTAGAATTGAGCTGTGGCTTAGTGTCCAGCCTGCCCCCAGAATGTCTGGAGACGGATTGAGGGAGGCAGGCTGGGCCTTCCGGGGGGTGGAGGTTGGGGGAGCCTATGTGGGTACTGGTCCAGTTGGGCAGTTCCATGCCTCTCCTCACAGAGTGGACCCAGAGGGACCTGGAACGCATGGAGAACATCCGATCCTGCCGCCAGTACCTAGTGTTCCACGATGGGGACTCGGTGGTGTTTGCAGGGCCTGCGGGCAACAGTGTGGAGACCCGGGGGGAGTAAGTTTGAGGGAGGAGGCTTGTGGGCAAGGCCACAGCCATGTGCAAGGCTTTTATGAGTGCCCGCCATGTGCCTGTGTGTGGGTAGGGACCAGAAGGGAGGCCAGGAGGGTTTTTGCCCCTGGGAAGCTCACATAGTCTCTAGTGACATGGCCTGATAAGCAGTGACATGGCCTGACAAGACTTGGGCCTAGAGTAGAGCCCAGGGAGGCTTAGGGATCAGAGAGGCTGCAGAGAGTGACGCCTGTGCCCCAGGGCCGGGAGGCAAGGCCAGTTGCCAAAGCCTCAAGAATCCTGAGAGGCAGGGGCTGTCATTGGCGGAGAAGATCCTGACCTGCTGCCCCATGTCTTCCTCAGACTGCTGAGCAGAGAGTCTCCTTCAGGGGCCATGAAGGCCGTGCTGCGCAAGGCCGGAAGCGCAGGCCTGGGGGAGGAGAAGCAGTTCCTGGAGGTGTGTCTGCGTGGGGCAGGTGGTGGGCAGCTGGGGCTCAGCCTGCAGGTAAGGCACTGTTGGGGGTGCAGGCAGCCTGATGCCCAGATGTCCTCAGGTCTGGGAGAAGAACCGGAAGCTCAAGAGCTTCAACCTGTCAGCGCTGGAGAAACATGGGCCTGTGTACGAGGATGGTGAGGCAGCTGGCTGGTGAACAGGCAGGGTGGACAGAAAGGGCAACCATAGCCCAAGGCTCCCCCTGATTGGCCCTCCCTCACCCAGACTGCTTTGGTTGCCTGTCCTGGTCGCACTCGGAGACACACTTGTTGTATGTGGCAGAGAAGAAGCGCCCCAAGACTGAGTCCTTCTTTCAGACCAAAGCCTTGGACATCAGTGGCAGTGATGATGAGATGGCTCAGCCGAAGAAGCCAGACCAGGCCATCAAGGTGCTCAGGGCCGTGGCCAGTCCGTGAAGGCCCTGCAGGGAGCCCTGGGGCTCAGTGTGCTCCCTGCACACACTGCACCTTTCAGAACTGGGGAGATACAGGCTTCTAGGGGGCAGGGCAGGCCCTTGCAAGACAGGCTGGGCATTGAGTTTCTTGTGTTCTCAGGGGGATCAGTTTGTGTTTTATGAAGACTGGGGAGAAAACATGGTTTCCAAAAGCACTCCGGTGCTCTGCGTGCTGGATGTGGAGAGTGGCAACATCTCCGTGCTTGAGGGAGTCCCTGAGAGTGTGTCCCCCGGACAGGTGAGGCTGACTCCACCTACATACTTCTGGAGTCTGGGGGCTCTGCCTGAGCTACTTCCCTTGCTCACACCTGCCCTTTGGTCTTGCTCACAGGCATTCTGGGCCCCTGGGGACACAGGCGTGGTGTTCGTAGGCTGGCAGCACGAGCCCTTCCGGCTGGGTGTCCGCTTCTGCACCAATCGCAGGTGAGGAGGTGGGACAAGGCAGGGGGCCTTGTAGCTCAGGCTGGCGTGAAGCTGAGTGTCTCTCTGGCGGTTTCAGGTCAGCCCTGTACTATGTGGATCTCATAGGGGGGAAGTGTGGTAAGTGCTGGTGCCCACCTGTGCTTTCCTGACACGCACCGGCCCTGCCAGCCTACATGATGCTCACGTTTCCGTCTGGTCCAGAGCTCTTGTCGGATGACTCCCTGGCTATCTCTTCTCCCCGGCTGAGTCCAGACCAGTGCCGCATCGTGTACCTGCAGTACCCGTCTCTGGTCCCCCATCATCAGTGTAGCCAACTGTGCCTGGTGAGCTGGAGGTGGGCAGGGTGAGGTGTGCAAGAGGATGGGATGGTGGGCGAGAGCTGAAACTCAGCCTCACCTCCCCACGGGCCCCTCAGTGGACCTCTTGTCCTGGGTGTAGTGATGGTGTGAGTTCTGCCTGTCCTCTCTTGGCAGGGCCTGGAGGCTGAGAGTGCTGCTGGCGTGGGGGCCTTTGCACTGTCGAGACTCCCCTTGAGAGCATCCTCTGTCTACAAGGATGCGCCTCCCTGTGCTTCTCAGTTGCACATGGCAGGCTCTGCACAGGGCTGGGATGTAGTGGGCAATTACAGAATCTTAGTTACAGGGTCCTTGGGCTCCTAGTGAAAGTCAGAGGCCCTTCCAGACACCTGGCCCAGGTCACCAGGAAGGAGATACATTAGGCTTGTCTCAGGTCGTCCCTCCCTTCCCAGGGTTATCTGAGAAGAGGACTGGTACTGAACTCTGTGCCCGGAGGGCACTGCCAGTCCCCTGGTGGGCCTAACTGCTGTGTTCCTTGCAGTATGACTGGTACACCAAGGTCACCTCAGTGGTGGTAGACATCGTGCCTCGGCAGCTGGGAGGTAAGGGGCGTGTGGCTGGGTGGGTCAGTGGAGCCTGAAGCTGTTTTCCCACCATCTGTCATCCCTGTGCAGGGCCAGCTGCTGCCTCAGTTCTTTCTTCCTGGGTTCCTTCTGAAGTCTCCCTCACTGCTGGGCCAACCTCATGCCCAGCCTCCCCGGGGAGCAGGGCCATCACCACAGGGAAGGGTTCTGATAGAGGAAGTCAGCCTGCCCAGAGCAGAGATCAGAGCGGCCCAAGCTGGCAGAGGGCTGAGGATTTCCTTCCCATGCTGCAGCTCTGTTAGATTTCCCTGGGTTTTCCAATGGCTGCCTGAAGCCATTGCTCCTTTGGGCTCTGAGAACCTGCACTAGATTGGAATGTCCTGCTAGAGAGGCTCTGAGCCCAAGTGTGCTGCTTTATTCCACTCCTAGCCCCCACCCAGCATTAGTTCAGTCCAAGCCCTTGAGTCAGCAGAGTGTCTGGGAGGGTGGCTCTGGGCTGATAGGCTCCGGTCACAGTCTCAGTGCTCACAGCTCTCTTTGGGGTCCTAGGCTATCCCAAGGATGTGAGAGGTGAGAGTCTCTTTTCTTAGGCTGCCTGGTCAATTCCAGGAGTCCAGGGGCAAGGGACTGTCTTTTCATCTTTCCTTTGGGTTACATGGATGCAGCAGTGGGGACCCGGTCTAAAGCCCAGCTCTGTCCCTTAAGTGTCCTGACCTCCCTGCTCTTCCATCTCCATCTGTGGAGAGGGTGGCCATCCCTGCCTTCTCTGTAGGATTGTAGTGAGGGTTACATGAGTGATGATAATAAAGGGCAGGATTTGTTCAGCCCCCTGTGCCATACATGTGTTCACCAGGTGCCAATTAGAGCCGATCACAGGAAAGCCAGTGCATTTCCTCTGAGCACCTACAGTTTCTCAGGAGCTCCTGAGCTCTGCCTCTCTTGGGACTTCAGAGACCTCTGCCACTCAGCCCCCTCTTTGGGCAGCTCCTCATTGCCTAGGGTGCCATCATGTGTCACGGGTGAATTCCCCAGCAGCCCAGCCTGTCTCACCCCCCCACACCTGCACTCCTGGAAGCAGCCCCCAGCCCTCCTGTCTTTGCAGAGAACTTCTCTGGGATCTACTGTAGCCATCTGCCTCTGGCATGCTGGTCAGCTGACAGCCAGAGAGTGGTTTTCGACTCTGCTCATCGCAGCCGGCAGGTAAGGGGCCCTGACTGTTGAGAGGCTCCCATGACCAATCCCAGGGTCCCTGGGCCTAGGGTATGGCACATGCACACCACTGGCTGGAATACCCAGCTATGAAATCTCACCAGCCCCTTAAGGCCCCGCCTGTCCCTGTCCTGGATTCACTTTTCCTTTAGGGGTCTGGCTGCCCTGGTGATCTCAGATGCCATCCTTGACCATGGTATCCTATAGTATCCATAACAGATTCCTTGGCAGTTTTTCCCGAGGCATAGCTGCAACTCCTCCCCCAGGCATTTCCAACTCGGGACAAGGGGCCTCGCACTGGGGTGGGCCCCTAAACAGTATTCAGGGAGTGACTGACAGAGGTGGGTCAGAGGCCTCTCCCAGGGATTGGGTGGGGACACCCACAGTGTGCCAGGCTCCTTTTGGGTGTGATATCATGTGGTCCTCATTCTGGCTCAGAGGGGCTCAGAGGCATTCCTTACACTGCCCAGGGTTACTCAGCAAGCTGTGATGGGGCTAGAATTTGAACCCAGGCCCTCAAGCCACTCCCTACTGTACTGAGTAGCCATCAGCATGGTTGCTCACAGCCCTGGCCGGGCCCAGGGGTCCCTACGAGGGGAGAGAGGAGGTGGGGGTGGGACCCACAGGGCTCTTGGATATGATGCCACACATAGCCCCCTTTCTGCTTCAGGACCTATTTGCTGTGGACACCCAGATAGGCACCGTGACCTCCCTGACGGCTGGTGAGTGGGGGTGGTGGTGAGTGGGGCAGCCAGGCCAGGGATGGGCCTGGGGCTCGAGCTTGTGGGGCAGCAGTGGCATTCTTGGCTACTGTACCACTCACCATCCTGTAGCCTTTACTGACAGTGTCACAGGGACCCTGCCCATGCAGGACCCTTACCCAGCCAAAAGCCTGCCTCCCTGCTCTGCTCTGCCTCTGCCTCAGCGTGGTCCCCACCCCTGCTCCTCAAGCCTGCAAAACTCCCTCTTGCTGATATTCCAGAGTCACCCTTCCTCTCCCCCATACCTTAGGCACAGGCGCCTCCGCCACGCAGGGCCCAAGAGAAGCCCTGTGCTGGCTCCCTTGTCTTCCTCTTCCAACCGGGCCTGGTGATTTGCCCCTGAAAGTTCTTCCAGTCTTCCTCCTGCCCTGACTGTGCTCGCTCCTCCTCAGAGCTACCAAAGTATCCTTCCCAAGCTGCATCTCACCACACAGGCCCTGCTTAAGAATCTCCTTGGCCCCCACTGCCCAAAATCAGTACTGCCCTGCTGGCTGCCACCGCTGCAGGCTGCAGCCATCAAATGGTGATGGATGTGGTGTGTTGGTCTGATGTGTCCCCAGACCTAACAGTCCCCCGGCTCAACCAGTGTCTACTGGATTAACACAGACTGAGCAGGAGGCTCACCCACGACCATGTGCATGCACTAGGATGTTTGTGATGGTCCCTTTGTGGGCAACCCTTTGCTTTTCAGGGCAGAAGGGGCACCTTGTGGTAGTGCTTCCAGCCTGGGACTCTGGCTCTGCAAGGAGTGGGTGGGAAAGGTGGTACCCCCTGCCAGGGGCTCAGTAGCATCTGCCTTCTCCAGGGGGGTTAGGTGGAAGCTGGAAGCTGCTCACAATGGACCGGGACCTCATGGTGGCACAGTTCTCCACGCCCAGCCTACCCCCAAGCCTGGTGAGTGTTGGTGGTCCCCAGGCCAGGATGCGGGGGTTCTGTGCAGGCAGAGCTCCCCAGGTCAGAGAATTGGCCCCAGGGTCTGATTGTGGCTGGTCAGCATGTGAGAGGCCAAGATGTGGGCCCAGCCCAGCATGGTCCACGAGGGTCTAGCACCCATGGGAGGGAACTACCAGGCTAAGATCTGCTCTGTACAGAACAGGTGTCTGGAAAAGTGCCCAGTCTTTTGTTAACAGCATAGGGATACTGCAGAGCCTAGAAGCTGAGGCGGGGGATTAGGGGGTGGGGTGTGAGTGCCTTTGTATATATCAGCACACAATGGGAGTCCGTGCCACCTCCCATCCTGGGCAGAGTTGGAAGGGCAGGGAGACAGCCAGGCCCCTGTAACACATTTTTTCCCCTCGGCAGAAAGTTGGGTTCCTGCCTCCCACAGGGAAGGAACAGTCGGTGGTATGGGTGTCCCTGGAGGAGGCCGAGGCCATTCCCAACATCTCCTGGGGCATCCGGGTGCTACAGCCACCCCCAGAGCAAGAGAATGTGCAGTATGGTAAGCTGGGCCGGGGCTCCTTCTCCGGGTTCCCCAGCACACAGCACCTGTGGTCCCCTTTCCTGCCTCCTGCTTCACATTGTGGGGTTTCTTGGGATTATCTCCAAGAGGATTTTTCTTCCTCTTGTGGACAGTCATGGGGAGTACAGTGTCCAGGCATCTGGGCACCTGCTCTACAGTGTCCCACTGGGCATCAGAGCTTGGAATCACCAGGCCAAGTCATCTGTGGTGGGGAAGCCAAGGTGCAAAGAAGACAGGCCCTATATGAGGCCTGTGACCACACCTCACCCAGAATGCTGTCCTTGCAGAGTGGGGCTCCCTGACTAGGGCAGGAGCAGGAGCATCCTGGGGTCCATGTGGCTCTGTGTGGGCCGCCTTGGCCAGGTCTCTGTTCTAGAGGTCAGCCCCAGACCTGCAGCTGCAGCTGAGGCCTTGGCTGGGGCTGCCCCTGGGCTCTGCTGACTTCCGCTCTCTCCCTGCAGCTGGCCTTGACTTTGAAGCAATCCTTCTGCAGCCCAGTGACCTTCCAGATAAGACCCAGGTGCCCATGGTGGTCATGCCCCACGGTAGGCATCTGGCCTAAGAGCCCCTGCCCTCCCACCATTCCTCCTAGGTGGCTCTCTCACCCTCTGCTTCCTCTTTGCAGGGGGACCCCATTCGTCCTTTGTCACTGCCTGGATGCTGTTCCCAGCCATGCTGTGCAAGATGGGCTTTGCAGTGCTACTAGGTGAGTGGGCAGGGCCCCGCAGCTCTCGTCGGACTTCAGGGGATAATGGGTGGGACTGGTTTGTACAAGTACCACAGGTACCACCCTAGTCTCCAGGCATCTCTGTTGCCGGACCTGGTAACCACTACCAGGAACCACCTAACCCAGCCACTGGCTCCATGGTATGGTGGTAAGAGGGACTAATTTGGGACTCCTGTGGAAAGGGTGCTATGGTCACTGGGCAGCAGCCTCAACTCTCTTAGCCCCTTGCCCTTGACAGTCTGTGTGCAGCTGGCCCTAAGGCCTACTTCACAAATGGGTATAAAGGTGTCCAGGGAGCTGGGAATGTCACTTGACTACCCTATCTGGTCCCTTCCTGGCCTCCAGTGAACTATCGTGGCTCCACGGGCTTTGGCCAGGACAGCATCCTCTCCCTCCCTGGCAATGTGGGCCACCAAGATGTGAAGGACGTCCAGGTAGCGGGGCCTGGGGCTTTGACTTCTGCATAGGCTGGAGGGTGGGGCTGGGGATGTTGCTCCATCAGCTGGGCAGGCAGCTGGTTGCAGTGCGCTCTGCCCACCCTGTAGTTTGCAGTAGAGCAGGTGCTCCAAGAGGAACACTTTGACAAAGGCCGCGTTGCCCTTATGGGTGGTTCCCACGGTGGCTTCCTCTCCTGCCACCTGATTGGTCAGTACCCAGAGATGTACAGTGCCTGCGTGGCTCGGAACCCTGTGATCAACATTGCCTCCATGATGGGATCCACTGACATCCCTGACTGGTGAGTGCCCTTCTCCCTGCACTTCCCCTGTCCGGCCCATACCCCCACGGAGCCACCCAGGCTCCAGAGCTGCATCAGCACCTCTCTTGCAGGTGCATGGTGGAGGCTGGCTTCCCCTACAGCAGTGATTGCCTGCCAGACGTCAGCATGTGGGCTGAGATGCTAGACAAATCGCCCATCAAGTACACCCCTCAGGTACACAGCCCTCCCACCACCCAGTGTGCTGCCAATCCATCCAGAGCCTGGGGCCCTGCTCACCATCACTCCTTAAACACCCAGGTGAAGACACCGCTGTTACTGATGCTGGGCCAGAAGGACCAGCGTGTGCCCTTCAAGCAGGGCATTGAGTATTACCGTGCCCTCAAGACCCGGAATGTGCCTGTTCGGTGAGTGCAGAACAGCCCTGGCAGCTGGTGGGCAGGTGAGTGGGGGAGGACCCTCCAGCTTCAATCATTACTGCCCTACCCCTACAGGCTCCTGCTGTATCCCAAAAGCACCCACGCACTGTCAGAGGTGGAGGTGGAGTCAGACAGCTTCATGAACGCTGTGCTCTGGCTGCGCATGCACTTGAGCAGCTGAAGCCCTGCCTCTGCAGGATCTGGGTGGCAGATGCCACAGCTGGCTCTTGGAGAGCCCCAGTGTCTGGCAGAGCAGCGAGAGGCTTCTTGGGCTCTGGACTCTATGGTTGGGTGAACCAAGAAATGTGGGCTATATGGTTATAATAAATGAGGACGGTCTGGTTCCTGCTGGTACTTTGTGCCTAGCCATGCCTACTCTCAGCCCCACCCTTGGGTTCAGAGAGACCTTAGGCCCTGGGTGTGGTAGCCATAGGATCTCATCTATCTCCAGTGTGAGAGGGGAGGGGACAGTGAGGGATTCAGCCATTGCTTGTCCTGGCCAACTGAGACTCCACCAGGCCAGCTCCCTCTGCTGCAACCCCTTTTGTTAGAAACTGCCCCACACCACCCTTCTCCCAACAGTTCATATAGGGGACTAGTGAGGTCCTGCTCTTCCACAGCACCCACAGGCTGAAGGACTCCCAAGTGTCAGATTGCCCAGCCCAGGGTACGCAGGGCTTGAGCCCCCCAGGCCCTAGTGAGGAGGTGTCAGTTCATTCCCTAGAAGCAGAGACTAAGAAGCGCCCTGCACGGGTGTGAAGAGCAAAGGTGGCTTTATGTCTGACAGGAAGCTTCATTCTTCCCAGGGTACATGGGATTGAGGCCAGGGCTAGCCCAAACGCATGACCTTGTAAATCCAGTCCACAAACACAGAGACACGCAAGAAGATGGCTGGCCAGAGGGGCCGTGCACATACTCGATTGGGAACTATGATTCCCTCCAGGACCCAGCAATCATGGGTAAAGCAGGCAAGTGGGCCCCCGTAGTCACCCTGGTAAGTGGGAGAACTGGTGAGAGCCAAGGCAGAGACTAGTCCCCTGGAAATGACATAGTACATGTTCAGCTTCCCATACCCTCCCCTGGCTGGCCAGGGGCCCTGTGACTGACCTCACAGGCACCCACAGGGGCCAACAGTCCCTGAGTGCACATCTCCTTCTCTCCTACACGTCCACGGTGCTTGATGTTGCATTCCTGATTGGAGATGACATTCAGCAGAGCCACGTTGAGGACCATGTTGTTTCTCTTATCTATAGTGAAGGGAATGGAAAGAAGGGAGGGCCTTTGGGTAGGACCCAGAACTGGGCCTCCTGGCCTGGAGCAGTCCATGCCCCTGAACTGTGCTCTTACCTCTGGTCTCACCCCAGCCTGCGATCTCACACTTGGTCCCTGGAGGCACTACATACTGCTCAGGGGGCAAGCAGATCAGGGCCACACGGTGGTTCAGGGTTACAGGTCTTTAGCAAAAATGAAGGCACTCAGGGCCTGAGGCCACAAGACCCAGCCCCACCTCACACCCTCTAGACTTGTCACACACCTCTCCAGCTTGAGCAGAATAAGCTGGGAGTCTGAGGGTCCGCACACCATTTTGACCACTGGGATCTGCTGCAGGTCTGGCTCCCCGGGCTGTGGGTTCTGGAACATGGTGCCCAACCATACCTCATAGCCCATGAGAGGCACATGGCTGGTAGAGAGGCTCTGCTCAGTCATGACTTATAGTCTGCTGCCCCAATGCCCACCTGTTGGTTTGCCTGGGGAAGGTGGCCAAGGGGAAGATGAAGGCAGAGTGATGGGACTAGGTGGGTCCCCAAACCCAAGGGAGGCTCACCAGGAGGAGAAGCACTGCCGGGCAGTCAGTACCCACTGCTCCTTCACCAGGGACCCCCCACAGAAGTGCTGGCCCTGCCTGGAGGAGTGGGGGTTAGTACATGGAAGTGAGTTCTGGCACACAGGCTGGACCTACCATCTCTTGGCTAGAACCTCTGAGGCTAGGGGCAGGTTCCCACCCTCCGCTGGCATAAACAGAGGCCAGCCTCAGCCCCTCTCATGGGGAGACAGTCAGCTGTGCCTCACCGGTTGCGTAAGCTGACTGTCCAGGGTGAGTTCCCAGGCTGGCCCCCCACCACACGCAGCTTGGAGGGATGCTGCTCCAGGCGAGGTGCCCTCTTGCCACACTTCTCAAACAGCACCTGGTCTGGGGGATAGGATGGGCCTCATGAAACCCCCACTGTATGCAGATGGGAGGCAAAGGGCCCCCCACCCAAGCCTGGCCCGTGTGTACCTGGGGGCTCCAGAATGGACGGTGGTTGGTCGTCATCTGAAAGAACGGAAGTTCACCCAGCTTAGGAAGCCAGCCTTAGGCGGTGGAGGTGTGGAGGTTGGGGGCCGGCCCGGGGGAAGTGCCACCCGAGCTCACCACAGCGCCGCAGTGCACAGTAGTCGAAGGGAGTGTTGGGGTCTGTAGTGTAGCACCAGGGCCCATGGCTGTCCCCATCTGGGTTCCTGCAGAAGTTCTCCTCCAGATGCGCGTGGGGGGTGGAGGCAGGAGTGAACCTAGGCGGGAGGGGAGCGGATTCATAGCAGATTAATCCCAAATCCCCGCCGGGCTCCAGCCTGAGTGGCCTTAGGGTTTGGGTGGACGTGCCGACCAACTCACTGAGGCTTGTGCGGCGTGTCCGCGGACCACAGCTGGCAGGGGACGCCCTTGCGGGTCTTGCTGACCGAGCCGCGGTACCGCTCCCCGGTGCCGTAGTAGCAGTCTGTGCGGAGCGGGCGGGGGCTGCCGTCAGTCGGTTCTCGCCCCAGGCCTGCCGCTAGGTGCCTCCAGCCCCAGCTCGGGCCTTACCCTGGGGTCGCACGTCGTCGGTGCAGCGCCGGATCTGGTAGCAGAAGGCCATCCGCATGCCAGGCCGCGACGTGAAGCACCAGGGCGCCTCCGAGCCGTCGGGGTTTCGGCAGTAGTTCTCGCGAAGATCCCTGGGCAGGTACTCTGCTCAGCGCAGCTGGGTCCCAGCGGGTCTCCCCCGGGAGCCCCGCCTCCGGCCCCGCC